GGTCGGATTTACAACACGACGGCATCGAGTGCACCCATGGGCATCACCATGGCGCGCTACCGCATGCTGACTCTTAGGGGCACGGACCCTCCGGGCTCGAGGAAGCCTCTTAATCGCTCCATATAAGGATTCAGTTGACGGAAAGCAAGCAAGAACGGAAAGCACACCAGAGACGACCGACTGAGATTCATCACCTGTTCTCTTGAAATCCTGAAGCTCGGTTCAGACAGATTATGAATCTGGGCCCCTGCTGAGCCCACAAATCGACCGCTGTGGAACCAGCAATGAGAGCTCTGGACCGATCACCCGCAGCCTGCTCAAGCACTGAGGATAACCCGCCCATGCGAGCCTTTGCGCCCACGCATCTCTCTCCAGAAGGAAGAACTTGCTGGGCCCATTCAAAGCCTTGGATGCATTGAGGCCAGCAAACAAGCCTCGGTAGTCTACGACAACGGGCTGGGAGGAGACACCCAGGCCAATTCCCCCCGCCGTAGGACAGCCAAAGCGAGCGACCGTGCTCGGCCACCCCCGAGGCCCGATAGAATTCGCCAGGGAGTGGGGAGTAGACTCCACGGACAACAGTTTGGCCAGCCATCGACACACAAACAAGCCGCTCCAGCTCTGGAGTCCCCCCACTCACCGCTGCAGCAGGAGCCGCCCACACGAAAATCGCCGTCTGCGCAGAAGAAAAAAGGTTCCATCGGACGACCATCTTCGCGCGACCTCCAGACTCAGGTTCGCCGACCATCTTCTTCGAAGAACCGCAGGTCCCAGTCGGCGCCAGGGGTCGCGAGCCCCAGAGCTTCGACCCACCAACGAGAGAAAACAAGAGAGCCAGGCCGAGCAGTCCGGATCTGCTGGAGCGCATTGGGTCCGAAATGCCCATCACGCTTAGCTGGGACCTCATCACGCTGGCAGAGCCAAGCTCTGCGCCACACATTTTCAGAGGGGGCCCCACATCGCGGGCACTCGCAATCGACTCTGCACCCCCCGCGGAAAAAGTCCCCCCAGTGGGGACCCACGGACGGTTTGGCGATAAATATGTTCGAGCTGAGGTGGGAAGGCTTCTGCTACTCTTCTCACGGCAAGTAGCCACGGCCCCCTCACGCTGAATCTGGATTCCGGAGAACAGCCTGCTTTGACAAAACTGGCAACGTGAAGTCGCCGAAGGCCAGCGACGAAAAAAAATGCAACTTGCTGGGGGGGGCGCTTCCGCGAGCACCCAGCGCCGCCCACAAAGGTTGTCGAACGCGGCGGGCCCCTCCCAAGTCCACCCAGCCCTCTCCATCCACCAAAGCATGGCACTAATCGGGACCCTGGCCCCATACAGCCAAGGGCGCCCATGGGAAGCCGGAAATTGCACTTCGGCGGCTCGGAAAGCCCCATTCAGCATTCCAGGGGATAAAGCATCCTGATGACGGGGCCCAGCGCGAGGCCCAGGTTCCGAGGGGCGCCACCATTCCCAAGCACACCTCTCGATGGAGGCCAGCTGCAAGCCGAAAGGGGCCCCGAGCTCCATGACTGCCTGCCGAGAGGCCCCACGTGAAGTCCACGCTACACCCTCCGTCTCTTAAACCTCCAACACGGGCGGCCGCACGACGAACAAGCAAGGACCCGTTTGGGAATAGTTCCTTGACCTCCAGCCCAAATAATACCGTGGACCGGGCCCAACTTCTGAATAACCGAGCCTTGAACTTCCTGGCGACCTTCAAAGAGCCCAATTTCACAAGCCGAATCTCGAAAGCCCCCACGCGTTTCTCACGATACTACCGAACGAAGGGGACGAGCTGATGGCGACCAGCCACGCACGCAATACCGAGGGTCGATGCACCCCGCTCTGGCGCCCCCGCAGGAAACTGGAGCCGCTCCTTCACCTGTCCAAGCACAAGAAGACCAATGGCAACCGAACGCATTTCCTTAACGACACGCGGAACCTTCAGCGCGCTAGAAATGCGCCTGGCCACGAAGACAGCCAAACCATTGAACTGCCGCGCGCAATCCTGCATCGAGTCGTTCCCCGAGTGGAGTGACAGGTCATCCACACGCAGACTCAGCGCAGTGCCAGAAAAAGAGCTGTCTGCCTGAACCGAGGGAAGCATGAATGCATTGGCCTCGCAGGTGGCCGACGCGCCCCCCGCCGCGACTCTTCGGGCGGGCCAGAGGAGCTCCGAGCGGGCCCCGTCGAGGAACAGGTGCCTTCTCCAGGCGCAGGTAGGAAGAATATACACCAGGAAATATAAGGAGAACTGAGCAACTGGGCCAGCGTCGCCTGGGAAACCAACCACCGGCGCTGGACGCGCTCCTTGAATTCTGGCAAATCTCAAAGCAACGCGGCGAAGTGGATTCCCATTCCAGAACGCATCTCAGCTGAGACATTTCGCCCCCAGACCGCACCCAGAGAACTGCGGCCCTGCCCCTTGGAGAACTCGGGCCCCAGACCAACAGAACTGCCCCAGGAACGACATGTGCCCCCGTTGGTCTTGCCGCGGGGCTTCGCGAGCCCATTGCAGTGACCGATGGGCCTCCTAGCCTTACCCGGCTGCCTCATAGGGAAAACGGTCAGCTGCTGCAAATCGCCGGGCGTCTGGCCAGCGGCGCCCATGACACGACGCATGAGGGGTACAATAGATCGGCCAGCATTCGACATCATAGAGAAATGCCGAAGATGGAAGACACATGGGACACAAGCGTCGGCATTAGACCTGGAGCTGATATTCCGAATACGTTCGGGATCCACGGGTGGATGGGGCCGGCGCCCGACAGGACAAGACGAGCTCAGGGGCCGAAAAAGGTTGCCCATGAGCCTGCCACGCGCCTCGCTAGAGCGCTCGCTCAGCGGCCATCCCGCGGGGCAGGGCAGCCGACAAGGCGCGGTCAAATTCGGCGACCCCCGCCACGGGGGCGCCTGACTTCAAGACAGCACAAGCCTGCCTGCAATGATTCTTGGCAGAATCCGAACACCACTGCTCTCAGGCCTGCTTAGAAACCTCCCTCTCCTCCAGGCATCCTACGGGCTGCCACTCATCCACAAACCGAATAGGACCATCCAAAAGCACAGCGCGACCCCCCTCAAAGTCCTTCGCAAGATGACTGCAAGCTGGAGAACCTAAGACTGAGCGCCAACAGTCTGAACTAGCACGCCAACGCCGACGAAATGCTCCGCCTCTCGGAGGAAAATCGAACCCAATCACCTGATTGAGTTCTTTGGCTCGCGTAGACACCCATAGAACTGCGCGCCCTGGGATAGCATGCTCGCGCGCCCGAGTGGCCGAGAGGCCCCGCGCCGCGGTCTTGGCGAACTCCCTGGGGAGACTACAAGAAGACCCTCACCAGCTGGAACTCGGGTGGCCCCTATGACTTCCCCCCAGGCCCTCCACCCCCAGGGCCCACAGACACCGTCGAGAATGGAGACCCCTTCTTCCCGCTGGCCCCCAGATAACGCGCAGGCCGCCCCACCTTGCCCAACATGGGCGTCAATGAAACCTCTGAGCTGAGCCTCAAGATCAGAAAAATCTGGAGGAGGCGGGGCTGGATCTACAGCTACATAAGACGGGACAGACTGGCACTGCTTCGACGCCAGCACATAGTCTTCACCACGTGCACGACGGACAGCGATAGACACAGGCCTGCGCGGACTGCACGCGCCACGAAGGTCAGCTTCCACAACGCCCGCGACTTGGCCCACAACACTGCCAAAAACAAAATAATATATAGTCAAGGCCTCCTCACCAGACACATATGCATCGCACCGACCTTGCAGACGTGCTGTAGCGGATTTACGCGTGGATTTCTGCCATTACACAACCCCGAAACGGCAGGCGAAAAACGGCATGAAATGCCACGTGGATTTTTTAGTCTTCACTCCTGGCCGAAAAAAACCGCATGACATTCACTTCGAAAACCGGAGCGAAATTATCCCAGACACTCCGGGCCCCTCCTATTATTTTCCGAACGAAATTCTCTCTGCGATGCTGGCGCCATGAAGCGGGGCCCTGACAAGGGCTCGGAGCTTGCAGAAAGGATCCCAAGCTGCCATTACACGCGGCCTAATATCAAAGTCACCACCGATGACGATGGGGACCCCACGGCGGTAAATGTCAGCGACTATAGCCTTCAGGATCTTGAGGCAAATGCACGCGAGCCCCGCGGAATCCTTGAGGTAGACGCTACACAGAGCTACATGCCCGAGACCGCTGCTCCTGAAGAAACATCTCTGAACGCGACCAGGGAGTTGGTTGCCGGAATCTCAAAGCGCATTGAATACATCCAAATGCTTTCTGGAAACAACCAATCCCTTCAGATGGGTCCCCAGAATCAGTAGACACGCAGCCGGAAGCGAAAACTCTCCAAACTTGCCAATGCAACCTCGCAGTAGTATCCCGAAGCAGGGCCCATCGGAGCTTGTCTTCATGGGAGAAACTGTAGCAATATCGAGGCTTTTCCTCTCAACCCTCGAAGCCAAAGGACCTGCAGTGCTTGCGTCCGGGTCGTCAGGGGGCGCGTAGGTGACAGGCTGACATCCTCGCCCGCGTGGGATATCCGGGCGAGAGCCCGTGACAAATTACCATCTACAGCTGACAAATCACGCCCTACTGACTCCTATAACGACACACACCCTTGAGAAAGCTCTTTGGCTATCCCTTCTGAGTCAAGCTTTCGAACTGACATCCCAGACTGATACTGGAGTACAAGCTCATGGAGACGTTCCTCTCCGGTAAAGGGAGAGACGTCTGCTGCGGCGTCGGCCGCAGTGCTAATAGAAACGAACAATGGTAAAGCTCTAGCTCCAATTTGCTTGCAGGGAGTCCAGCGGAACCCCAAACTTGCGCTGTGCAGGAGGTCTGGATGCAGACAGAGCATCAACTCAACTTCCAGGGGAAAGAAATAGCTCGAAACTCTGATATTAAGCATGATGGCAGGGGGAGAAAAGAAGAGAAAACAGAACGGCTCAAGGCAAGGCGCAGCCGCTCAAGGTCCTATCGACTGAGCCTCATTCACTGTCAGTTCAAAAGAAGTCCCTTGGCCTTGTCCACACGCACTTCAAGGAAGGCACCGTGCGCGTGGTCCTGGACTGGTTGGAATCGAGGGACCGCCCACTTCCACTTGTAGGTCATCTGGGACTGCGTGCTCACGTTCCTGGTATGCTGACTCGGTCGCATCATAACCAGTGAGGCTGGCACGCCTGGAAGCGGATCCTCCATCTTGTCTGTGTGGGTGGTCTCCTCTGTCATCTCATTGGGCTCGGGCGAGACCAGGAGCCAGTCCGAGTCCCGCATGCTGGCGTAGCGGAACCCCGCGTAGCCGCTGATGGCCGCCACGATCAGTGTCCAGACAGCCACCATCATCAGGAAACCTGTCCAGTCGCTCGTGGCCATGCCATCCCTGGAGCAGACCTCCGTGTCGTAGTAGTAGTTGCTCTGGTCGGCGACCTGGCCCTCGCAGCCCTGCAGGAGCGTCGCCGCCGCTGTGATCATAGCCAGGGCCGCCGAGCGACTAGCACCGAGTGAGCTCGTAGAAGTTCTCGAGCTCCTGACCCGTGCTGCCGCCCCCACGTCGAAGTCCACCTCCTCCGACTGATGGTCACTCTCCGCGACCTGGCCCATGTCCGTGTAGATGCCGTTGAGCGTCCTGAGCTTGACGAAGCGATCGTGTCCAAGGATCTTCGTGCCCAGGTCCGCTTTGTTGTCGTCGGTGCCGACAGTCCCGAGGTCCATCAGCTTCCTCTTGATCGCCTGCTGAAGCCAAAGAACTCGAGCCTCAAGACTCCGCACCTTACCAACTCCTTCACGTCGGGCAATGCCTCGCGCAGCTGACGAATCCGTCAGCAGGGTGGCTGCCACCGTGAAGCCCATGAACTCAAGAAGTGACTTGAAGTAGAGCAAATCCTCGGCGACCGCCGTCGCCGCATAGTACTCAGCAACTCCTGAGCTAGTGGCCACGATGCTCTGGCGCCTGCTGAACGAGTGCATGGGAACACCATCGATCTCGATCTTGCCGCTCGACTGGGACCTCCTCGTCTGCAAGTCGCCTGCCCAGTCGCTGTCACCAAAGCCCACTAGCTCCACGTTCGTGCCCTCCGTCGGTCTCGGTAGCCAGTTCACCGCATTCCTCGTCCCAAGCAGGTATCTCACGAGCCTCTTGAGCGCAGTGAAGGCGCCGACGGTGGGGCCTGATAGCATCCTGCCCAGCAAGCTGACCTCGCACTGGCAGTCCGCCCTGTCCTGGACGTAGTACATCAGCGCCCCCACGCATGAGCGGTAGACGCCAGCCTGCTGCTGAGAGAGAGTAGGAGTGCTCCCCATGAGCGCCTTGTGTGCTGGCACTCCAGGAGTGGGAGCCGTGTTGGACCCGCCGAGGTTGAGGGTCCCCACCACGTAGTCGAGGTACTTCGGGTTGGCCTGCAGCTCTGTGCCGTGCTCGTACCTCGTCCTCAGCCTCTTCAGGTGCTCGTAGGTGGTGCCGTACTCGTGGATTTCCCCGCCGCTGAAGGTCACATGCTGCTTCAGCTCGTCGCGGAAGCCCTCCAGCGCCTCCTTGGATCCAGCCATGTGCAAGTCGTCCATGCGCAGCTCAACCACCACCTCCGTCTCAGGGTTGTAGAAGAACTGCGGCGCCACCTCGCATCTGGTCATCTGCATCTCGTCTGTGAGGATGCCCGCCATGTGCTCCACCCAGCCTGGCGCTGCCGTCCGTCTCCCAGGTAATTGCTTCTTCAACTTCCAGTAGATCTCCGTGTCCTTGCCTTCCGCCCTGAGCATGTCCAAGTACTCCTGCGGGGGGTCAACCACCACGTCCTCGTACTCTGGGGCCTGGTAGAAGGCATCCGTCGCGTCGAGCGTCATCACCTCGAACCCGCGCTTGAGAGCCACAAAGTCGACCAACCTGTTGGAGATCGGGGCCGATCCAGGTGTGAACAGGTCGTCACGCCACTCCTGCCAGCGGAACTCGCGGCAGACGAACCGCACCTTGCGCTGCCACTCCTGCAACGCTGGCTTCCATCTCCATTGCCTCTCCCAGCGCGTGGTGATGTGCTTCATCCCATTCGCCTTCGACTTGGCGATGTCCTCGCCGACTCCATGGTCCAGGAGGCTCTGCAGGTGCTCCATGGTGAGCTTCTTGTCCAGCTCATCCTGCATGTCCACGTCAAACATGCCATCCGTCGGGTCCTCCACCTCATCCGAGACCTCCTCCCAGAACGCGTCAGGCGAGTCATCCACGTTGCCAACCTCCAGCGCGTGAACCGCTGCAACTCGTGCTCGCTTGCCTTCGGAGACCTCTGCTGCTGGCGAGACCCCACGTCTCGCTGCCTGCGAGGGCGCCGCCCCCACCGCCACATCCCTGGGCGCCGGCGGCTCTGGTGCTGGGGGCTGCGGCTGCTGAGCCGCTGCCGCTGCCGGCGGGGGTGGTTGCTGCGGTGCCTGAGGCTGAGCAGGCGCTGCTCCGCCCTCTGGCTGTCCTGCCTGCTGCGGCTGGGGAGCGTCAGGCTGAAGAGGTCCTTCTGCCCTCGGTAGCTCCGTCGCGATCTGCTGAGGCGCCCGCCTGCGTTTCGACCTCTCGGGGGCCGTCCTCGCAGCCAAAGGCAGCCCCGTCACCGTCATGAGGAGCTCCTTGTCAGCCTGCCTTCCCTCAGGGAGCCGTCGCACCGTCCGTGCGCGGTCAAGCCCCCGAGGCGTCATCGCCAGGTGCTCCTGCGACTCGTCCGACCTGCCGACCCAGATCCCTTTGCCCCACTGAGCCTCGCCTCGATGCAGACGCCGACCTCCAGTGAGACCTCGATGCGCAGGACGCGCAATCCGATACAGCACCGTCTCGCCGAAGTTGCAGATGTGTTTTATTTGTTTTTTTATTTATTTTTATTTTTTTTTTTTTTTTTTTTTTTTTTTTTTGTATATTTAGTTGTGTTTTCTTTTTTGTATTTTTTTTTTTTTGTTTTTTTTTATTTTTTTATTTGTCGCCCTTGTACGTCGTGCTGTCGCGATCTCGTGCGGGCTCTGACCTCCAGCTCTCCTCGAGAACCTCTCGTGAAGCCACCCAGCGTGACGCATCATCCACGCCCAGAGTGGCATGGCCGCCGTCACCTTCGTGTCGTAGCGCTTCTCGAGGTCCAGCCTAAGAACCCTCGTCTGGCCCTCGACTATCTTCACCGCTGCCTCCGCTGGGTTCGACTGGCCGCTGTGCTTGGGGGTCAGCTCTGCCGTGACCTTGCCCGCGAGCTCGCTGACCACGCCGTCCATGATGGCCTTCGTCGCCTGCTCCGTGTCCGTCCTGAGCCTGCACTTGCCCGTCTCGAGCCTCTGCACGAAGGACTTGATGCCTGCAATGGCGTATGGTGAAGCTGCCTTTGACGCACACGGAATAACCTTCACCACTCCAGTGTCAGAGCTGAACGCCACCAGCATCGTCGCGTAGGCGTCCTCTACCTTGGTCAGGTCCCCTTCCTCGTCGGCTGTCTTGCAGAAGCCGAAGTCGTAGCTGATGAGTGGGTGCTTCTGCTCTGAGTCCTCGAGCCTGACCAGCGAGTGAGGTGCATCAGGAGCTTTGGCCCTGACACACTCCTCGCACCACGGAGCAGCAGGGAGGTGCGTGAGGCGATGCTGTCTCTCCTCCTCCGCGCTCGGGGCCTTCGGAACTGGAAGCTGCTTCGGCTCGACTGGATCGCGCTGAATCCCGAGCTGCTCCTTCACCGCCAGCTTGCGCAGCCTCTCCGCCTCCGAGCGCCCGGCAGCCGCCTCTGCCACAATGAGCCGCTCCCACAGCTCCAACTTCGCGCCGTAGATCGGCATGAACAGCTCCCTCAGCCTGGTCCTCATCGCGCCGACCGAGCTCTCCGCCGTGAGCACTGGTGCCGTCGCTGCCTGCTGCTGGCCTCCGCCGCGCCGCAGCAGTGGTGGGCCGCTGGCGCAGGGCTCGCGGACACGATCGGGAGCCTAAGGCTGTTCCGCTCCAACTCGAGCTGCACGCTGCGGTGACCCTTCGTCATGTAGAGCCCGTCCTCCATACTGAGGTTGAACCTGAATCCCTGCCTGAGCAGCTTGCCCATGCTCAGCAGGTCGTCATTCACATCGGCAACGAGGAAGTTCGCCGTCGCCTTGATGCCCTCCTGCATCGTCATCTCAACACCCCGTAGGCCCGCTGTGGGCAGCGGTCGCTGCTGCACGTCGAAAAGCCTGGGGGCATCCGTCGCACTGTTGACTGGGGCCTCTGGGACGAACTTGTGCCTGCACAGGTGGTCGTCGCTGCCGCTGTCGATCAGGATGGAGCCTCCAACCTTCGCCACCTGGCCGCTCGTCGCCGCTGAGACCGCAAACACCCAGCCGTCGGGAACGCCGTCGTAGTAGCCCGACGCGGCGCGGACCCCGCCCTCGGACTGCTGCTGTCCCGAGCTCGAGGCCGATCCATCTCCCTGAACCGCGCGCGTGTTGCCAGTCTCCTTCTTGGCCTCATCTGCCCTCTTCTTCCTGCAGTCGGCCCGCTTGTGGCCCCACTTGCCGCAGTAGCCACACTCGCCGTCGAAGTAGTCGGACTGGCCCTTGCCATGGCCCTGCTTGCCGTCGCGGTTCTTGGACTTCGTCTTCGAGTCCTTGCAGCCCTTCACATTCTTGCCAGCCTTGACTGACTTGTCCATCTTGCCTGTCTTGCCCGACTTCCCGTGCGACTTGCCGCCATGCGGTCCAACTCGAACTGCATCCACCTGCATCGGCACGACCCCGCCAGTGTCTGGGACGTGGGTGAACGTCCGCCCTTGATTGTAGTAGCCCCTGATGTGACTCCGTGCCGCTGCGAACGTGAGCTTCACCTCCTCCGGCGCCTGCCGAAGGACCTCGCGGTACGGCTCTGGCGCGTGCTCTAGCAGCACGCTGACCCGAACGTTGTCCGAGACCGCCTCGCCGCTCTGGTCCACGTACTCTGCGACGATGGCCTCCCACGCCGTGAGAGACTGAAAGAAGTCGATGCCCGACTCCCGATCCTTCGCCCACTTGTCCTGAGGGTTCAGGATGAAGCGCAGCATGGCCGTCCACCTGTTGCCCGACTTGCTCTCATACTCGATCTTGAGCTGCCGCCACGCCTCCAGGCCATTCTTCCTCGAGAGCTTGACCACACCCAGCGACTTGCCGTCGCACCACGTGATCAGCAGATGCCAGAGCCTATGGCTGACCGCTCTCGCCTGGTCCCCCAGCTGGTCCGTTGCCAGTGGGTCGCGCCTGTTGGCCGCCTCCGTCATGAGGTCCTCCATGCCAAGCAGCGCGGTGTAGGCCTCGAACCTGAGGCTCCAGTCTGCCCATCTCTCGTCCGTACCGTCGAACCTCTGAAGCCTCATGTCGGTCCGAACGTCGACGACATCGATCGCCGCCATCTCCGCCAGCACGGGCAGGAGGCCTGGGCGCGGCGAGCGAGCTCAGCTCCCGTGGGCGCAGGAACCGAGCTCCGCTACCATGTAGCAGTATCGAGGCTTTTCCTCTCAACCCTCGAAGCCAAAGGACCTGCAGTGCTTGCTCCCTCTCTGCCCTAACATGCTGACTCCTGCACACGGGGGTCCCTGACCCCAGCAAATACAATCTACAACATTAACAGAAATGATTAAAAAGTGTTGGGTTTCCTACGAATCCGCAAGAGCGCGCGGGATGAAATTTTGACCATTTGTTTTTGAAAAACTATTGGTTGTTTGATGTTTTTATGTTAAAATCGCTACGAAAACTAAGGTTTTGGAAGGATTTCGTCTTGCGCGCGCGAATGTCCACTTTACCTCATTTTTTGCAAGGGATTCTTGAAGTTTGGTTATGTTAGAACAAGAAATGTCCACTTTAGCTTATTTTTTGCAAGGGAAAACCGATCGTAACAACACAACCGGATCTGGTACACATCGTTTTGCCTGAGACTTCCTCACGAAAATGATGAAAATGTGGCTGCGGCCTAGGCGCGGCGAGGGGGTCGTGCACCAGGGGTCCCAACAACAATTATTTTTTAGAAGTAATAATGTTCAACAACAACAACAACAACCAACAACCAACAACCAACAACCAACAACCAACAACCAACAACCAACAACCAACAACCAACAACCAACAACCAACAACCAACAACAACAACAACAACAACAACAGCAATAAGAACAACCAACAACCAACAACCACAACAACAACAACAATAACAACAACAACAACAACAACAAAAGCAAACGTGCACTGAGTAGCAGCGTGCAACATCGGGTAAAGTACGACATGTGCAAATAAACGCCTGGGACCGAAGAGGCCAACCCCAGGGCCGAAGCGGCCACCGAGAAAGAGAGGGAGAAGGAGAGGGAGAGGAAGAGGGAGAAGGAAAGTGGAAGGGCCTGGGGTAGCGGGAGAACGAGCAAGATAGGAAAAGGAAATGAGAGGGAGGAAAGGATGCTTCCCCTGTCGACCAGACCTGACTGCGTTCGAACAGAATCGAGTCTGCGCAAATAACGGTCGAGAATGGCCAATGCAGCTGCCATCTCTGGCCTGGCAGACCACCGTATACCAGGAGGCTGAACGAATGGGAAACATAATATTTCAGCATCAACAAAACTGCTCCTCAACCTCCGCCTCCTCCTCCTCCTCCTCCTCCTCCTCCTCCTCCTCCTCCTCCTCCTCCTCCTCCTCCTCCTCCTCCTCCTCCTCCTCCTCCTCCTAGTGTGAACCTGGCCAGGCTGTCGGCTCGGATACCGCCCCCCCCCCCGCCCAGGGTGCGGGGAGCTCTGCTAATCGAAAGCCTGCCCTTTTGCCACGAGCTGCTACTCCCTCCACCGCTGCAACCTCACTCCTCTCCCCCCGATGAGTCAGCGACCCGCATTCGGTGATCGTGCCCTGCTCGGCTAGTTTGGCATTGAGCAAGCGGGTTTTGTGGCAAACGAGTCCTGGACCCTGGGACCTTCCCTCAGGACCAGCCAGCGTTCTGCCCCCTAAAGTGGGTCGACGGTCCCGGGACCCGTTTCCCTCATGACCTTTTTCCTTCATGGCGACTAGTCGTCCAAGAATAACGGGTAGACGGCGGCGCCAGCATGAAGGGAGAACATCGTATGGTTGAGGAAGTGTTTCGGCATGCCTGTCCTCCTCTCGGTTGAAATCCGTGGGTTCGGAGCTTCAATAACTCAACGCACATGTGCATCTCTCACGCCTCCCGAAACAGCGCGGTGCATATTTGATTGTCGCTGGCCTCGGTTCCCGAGCAGCAAAAGCGCGTGATCTGCAACTCGCCGATGGGCCACGGCAGCGACACGTTCACCGGGCTGCCAGGCGCGCCTCTCCCCAGATGCGGGCAAGGCAAATTCGGGCATGCACGCTGCCTGGGGTGCATCCCATGCCATGCTCAGCCCGACGCCCCCTCACAACAAGGACCCACACGAACAGCACAAGTCAGTAAACATCCAACTAAGTATGGTTTTGCCGCGTCGTTTCTGAACCAAGACCAAAACTAGATGAGTAAGTACTCAAACGGCCAAGGCCGAGAAAGACTGGTGCCTGACTCGACTCGCAATTAGTACGGCCTGGCAACCACGAGTATTTGCGCACGCGGCCAACGCCAAGGCGACAACACCATGGCAAGAAAAATTATCCTGGCGAAGGACCCAACCATATGCAGTTGTGAGTATCGCAATTGGGAGTATCTTCTTCGGTGGCGCTCCCTATGGGGCCACGAACCGCATGAGGGGTGTGCCGAAATGTGGCGGGGTACACAACGCAAAGGAATACGATAGATCTGATTACGAGAGAAAGAACGCGGGTGAGTCAGAGCGCGAGGGAATCTGAGTATGAATGGGTCTGCGCGCGAGTGAATATATTTGCATGAATGCGATCATGGAACCGCCTAGTGTAAGTGTCGAGCATGCCTGTCCGAACACACGTGACACTGGGCGTGGCCGCCGCAGGCAGCTTCCGCGGGAACCCCGACGGCAGCGTCCGCACGTCGCGACGCCCATGTCGGCACGCCTCTTGCGAGGATCGCGCCCGCTTTCGGCTCTTCTTTTCCTTCCTCTTTGCCCGCGCACTCCAAAATCCAAGGCTGCGGGCGCAGCGCAGCGCGGAGTCCCCGCGACGCGCGCTGGTCGCCCCGGGCGGGGTCCCAGCGACGCGCGCGGGTCGTCCGCTGCGCGAAGCAGAGAGAGCTGACTAGCTAACTGGCTGGCTGATAGCGGGCCAGTCTCTGACCGCTGGGCAGAGCGACGACGGGCGAACGAGGCGCCGGGCCCCCCGCAGCACGGAGTTCCCGCGACGCGCGCTGGTCGCCCCGAGAGGTCCCAGCGACGCGCGCGGGTCGTCCGCGGCGCGAGGCCAAACAATTAGTCGGGCAGTCGAAAGAAGGCGCGGCTCGGGGGAGACGCTCCTCAGGTCAGGCCTCGCGGATGAACTCGGTGAAGCCGAGCTCCCTGGCGAGGGCCGTCGCTTCCCTCCTGCACCGCTTCGTGCGCGCCGCAAACTGCTCCAGCTGCTTCCGCAAGCCCTGCGGCGGCCCTGCCAGGAAGAACTCGATGCGCGGCGCCCGCATGAGCAGGAGGTCCTCGTGGCGCGTGGCGCGCGAGAGCAGCACGTAGAGCTCCAGCCACCAGTCGTCGTCCTCCTTCTTGCCGTTCCCTACCTCGTGGCGGCCGCAATCCAGGATCACGCCTGGGCGACGTCGACCGAGGGAGCAGCGCGCCGGGCAGCCGACGGCCCAGGGCGAGAGTCCACAGGACCGAGAGATGGTCTGGCCGCGGACTGCTCGCGCCCCGGAGGTCTGGCCGCCCCCGGAGCGCCGTTCCCCCGCCCCGTCGCCTTCGCGCACGGTGCGCCCCTGGCACGCCACCGTGGTGATGACCCTGCCGTGCGAGAAATGCGGGGGGTGTGCCGAAATGGGTGGGGGTGACGCATGCGGGCGGCGGGCACTGGGGCCTTCGGTGGAGCTCCCTATGGAGCCACGAAACGTGTGAGGGGTGTGCCGAAATGGGTGTGGGGGACGCATGCGGCCGCGGGCACTGGGGCCTTCGGTGGAGCTCCCTATGGAGCCACGAAACGTGTGAGGGGTGTGCCGAAATGGGTCCAAGGCGACAACACCATGGCAAGAAAAACAAACAGCTGACTACGGATGCGAAGCGCGAACCCAAGCAACAAGACATTCACAATGTAATCAAAGTCGAAGCAGAAGCACAAGCTCAATTAGAAAGCGCGACGTGGTCAAGGAGAGTCAACAATCAACCAAGAACGAGATGCGTTAATCCAAAAGTTTGGAAAAAACGCATTGATGCGGTCATCGCCGATGCGAGAGAAACGCTCTACACAGAGTGTTACCATTGCATGGGCGAAAGCGACGTTCTGACCGCGAAACATCGGTGGCGAACCCACAAAGGTATGCTGGCACACCGGACGACGGCCAACGCACGAAGCGCAAGCGACGTTCCCACGAAAAGAAACGACGAGCGCTTACGTCCGCATCGAGCACTACAACACTCCGACCGCCTGGCTCGAAGAGCCAACCCCGGCCCATCAGCGTGAACCGTCGAGAAAAACTCGTACTACACGCAACCGCGCTCGCAAACGAAAAATTGATACGGGGCCCCACGTGGGAGAGCTGCGCGATCTCACCGGAACTACCCAAAAATGTTCACACGAAACTCTTCTAGGAGAACTCGATAAAACAATCGCGCTACAGGCGGCTCCGAAATGCGAGGCGAGCCTGCGGAGGCCCCGAAGAGACCACAAAGAAGCGCCAAAGGAGTTCTCCACGAGCTTCACAAAGCTTACACTGCAACACAATGCTGCAACAATCAGGCTGCACCACGTCGTGTCATCATAAGGCAATTATCCATACAGCTTTCGACAATTCAATCAAAATTTTCGGATGCACGTGACGATGCCGCGCTGGTACGGTGGCGGCGCTTGCCGCAAACAATATGACTTTGAAGTTGATGTTTGGTGCCACGACCCAACGAAGATACTGACGGAACACAGCTTGATGAAGTAACAGACGTATCGCACGGTACAAAACCACCACTCTGGACAAGAAATTGCGGGCGCGGTATAACGCACGGCACATATCCCGCCTAGTACTTGCGCGGATGCTGTTGTTTTGTTATAAGAAAATTCAGCGAAGGGCGCGCAAAGAGCGGGGCGCTCTGGCCGCGTGACAGAGCCCCCTGCCCTCGCCCAGAGCGACTATGGAATCGATACAGCGGGGCGCGCGGGCGGCTGGCCAAGCGAGCGCCCTAGCTGAAACTAAACAGCAACGAGTACCATGTCTCGCGCTCGCCGAGCACTCGGCAATGGCGCCCCTTGCTCAACGTGCTGTTGTTACGAATGCCTTCAGCGACGGGCGTCAACGAGCGGGGCGCCCTGGCCGTGCGACGGAGATCCCCGCCCA